ACCACGACCCCCCTGGCTGTCATATTTGACTACTTCTACAGTACTCAATTCACCTTTTTTCTACCTTTGTGTCTGTCTCTTTTACATCTATGAAACACTTCACTCTATGCCATATTTGACTATTTTCACAGTACTCACTACCTTTTTTCTACCTTTGTGTCTGTCTCTTTTACATCTTTTAAACACTCTTTTGTTGTATGTCATATTCAACTACTTCCACAATAATCACCTCACATCTTTATGCCATATTCGACTATTTCCACAGTATTCACCTCATTTTTTCTACCTTTGTGTCTATCTCTTTTATATCTTTGAAAACGCTATGCCATGTTCGACTATTTCCACAGTACTCTCCTCACCATCACCTCACTCTATGCCAAATTCGACTATTTCCACAGTATTCACCTCACCTATTCTACCTTTGTGTCTGCCTCTTTTACATCTTTGAAACACCCTCCTGTTCCCCCCCCCACCCCCTCCCGAATTTTTTTAACTTTGATGTTCCGCCTCCTCTCTGTGAAGCCTGAAGTCAACTAAAGGGCTAATGATAACCATCAAGACGCCTGCCATTTGATATAAATAAATAAATTGATCGAGTACTGAATTGTTGGTGATCTGATAAGCAGGCTCTTCTGAAACTGTGACTGGAGGTGAAGTCAGGCCCTTCATTTCGATAAACGGCAATTAGTCGAGTTGTAGAATACTGAGGAGACCCCATAGTTCTTTGTGGGATTGGTAGGCAAAATGAAAAGCATTCACCCATCTTCGAGATAGTCAGAGGTAGAATGCTGAAGATACACTAGTCACCAAGCTCGTTCATCGGTCAAATGACCAATATTTGTAACATGCCTATCGCCAACGGAATTAGATTAGAACGCTCATATTCGTATTAAGCCCTGCAGAATAAGCCTCCATATATTCCGATAGTTTCAAAGCCATAGCTGCTTCGCTCAGTTAATGACTTAAGGAACAGAACTTTAAATAACTTTTATTCCCCTACAATCCAATTGATCTTTTTGCTAATTCTCATAACCTCCCTAAGCCACTCTCAAAATGAAAGAAGACTGAGATAAAGAAAAAATAATTTTATTGCATGTTTACATCTTCGAACAAGGAAGCTGAGTGGTGATTGGTTGGCATCTGGTCGGATGAACAGAGAATTCAGCCTTAATTAAACAATTACCTGCCAATCACTCTACACTTTAACAATTATGATTTTTCTTTCACTTCCATGTTCTAATAAAGAGTTTATAAATAATAGTAGAGGTTGATCTATACACTAAGAAATATTACAAAATTACGACACATAAATCGAAAGTCTCCTGAAGCCTTGCTTAAAATTGACATCTTCGACTTCCATCTGGGAGACGACTTAGTTCTTTTGCAAAGTATAAACTAGAATATACGGACTTAAGTTTGAAGGGGATAGAATATTCTCCAAATCAACGAATTCGACTTCCTCGTCGTTGAATACGGCCCACCGATCAGCCATTTCGCAAGCCCAAACGTAGTGCCCGGAGGATGCATGGTCACCACCATGCAACACAAAGCCAAAAATTTGATAGCGTTGCACAGTTCCATCTAAAAATAAACAAAAAGAATGGAAACGAGGAGATAGGAAATAACAAACAGCTTAACACACGCAATACTCACCTTCAAGTTTCAGTGTGACGGTATCGTTTATGTCGAATTTGCTCATTTTCTTCACCGTGCTGCCAGTCACCATATCAAAATAGAAGATCTTCACATTTAGTAGAAGACACGGAGGCGCCTTCCGAAATGTGACATCCACATTTC